CGGCCAGCGGAGGCTGCCGTCTGGCCCCGGTAACTTGATGCCCGTGACAGTTGGCAGCTGCAGCCGCTACGGCGGAGAAAAGCGGCGGCTGAGCCAAGAGCGACAGGTGTTAGCCGAGCCTTTGTCTCGGCCGCTTTGTCCGGCAGGCAGGCGGCGGGCGCGCTTGTGTCGGCCAGACGCCCGCGACCCCCACCGCGGGCAGCCCATCTGCCGGCCCCACCTCTCCATGCGTGGGGTGCGTGGGTGGTGGGGCCGCATCCTGGGGTAGCACCCTGGGGACCCAGGCCCTGCTCTAGCTCCACTGGCCTCGGTGCAGACGCTGCCTGGCAGAGCGAGGACACTGAGATGCCTTTTAGGAGCCTGCCTGATGGGCCCATGCGCTGCCCCGCAGCAGCACCACGCCCTTACCCAGTCCTGCAGTAATAATTCGGGCTGGGATTCTCAGGGCCTGTTCTGAACCCTTCCAGGCTACGAGCATCCTGATCTAGGACCCGGATCCACCTCCCAGCATCCCCAGAACAGAGCCTGGCGGCACAGAAGCACTGGGTGGGTAAGGAAGGTGAGAAGGTGTCCCTAGCTGGAATGGCTGGAAGGTCATGGGAACCAGACGTTGAGGGATTGTGCCAGTTGAGCCAAGTGGCAGGACTGGGTTGCAGATGGCACCCCTCTCTCAGGAAGACGAGTCTGACAGCTCTCTGGAGTTCCTTTACTTCTAGCTGCCCACCAGAGGGACCCCTGTAGGTTTCAGGCAAGGCGAATTTAGTGAGGTTTGAAGGTTCCCAAAGTCACCTCACTGACCTCTACAACCACCTGGGAGTCTCTTCCTTTCCACTCCTACCTGTCCCTGCTCTGCCTCTTGGCTGTTTCTCTGTGAGCAGGCCCCTGAGACTAATCCCAGCCCACCATTACTCATCTGGGTGGGAATCTACCCCTTTATTTCATCTTGGCACTCCATTGTCTTTAGTCTCTCTTAAAAGCCAAAAAACAGCTCTGTTCAACCCACCCTCCCTGGGTTGCTCAAAGACTCAACTGTCTACCCCTCCCAGTGGTGGGGCTGACAGTGTGGGAGCTGGAGTGGTGGATTTCAAGGAAGCCCTTAGCTGGCCTATGATTTTACTCTCTATCACCACTTAGCCATCACCCCAGGGAAGGAGACCCCCAAGAGACTACAGTTGATTTTTCCACTACTTGGAGAAACTGAGATAGAGAAAAGCTCAATGATATTTCTTGTACTTCTGAGTTTGCAAATGGATTTATACCACCCCAAGTGAACAAGACCAAGCAGATGTTTTAGAATGTTCTTCATGAGAGGCAATTCATATTGGAACAGGATGATCAGGGACCTGGGGGAGGCCTCTTGGAAAAGCCCTATAGAATATCTGAATGAATGGGGAAACTGGGTGTGGAAGGCAAGGAGGACATGATAAAAGCAAATGGTGAAAGCAAAAAACGAAAGGCAACTAGGAACTCCAGGAAAAACAAAAGGCTGTCCAAGAAAACAAATGCAATCTTAGCACATTACTTGGCTCAGGAGCCAACAATTCTTTCACATTCACAATAATGTAACACTATTCATCGAGTTTCAACATTTAATATTAATTTGTAGAGAAGGCAACTCTTATTTATGGTGATAGGACAAAATATAACATTGGCTTTGTTAAAAAAAAAAAAGAATGGGTGACAGGAATTAGGAGAGGGAGGAGGCTGAAGGGGGACTAAGAACTTCAAAAGCCTTGTCTTGACACAATGGCGGGGAGGTTGGGGAATGATGTCTAGAGTTGAGGAAACAGAAATTAAGCACCAACTATGCCTCAAGTGACCAAATACACATGAAGGAAAAGAGCCTAAGTAGAGAAGACTGTGTAAGTCAGCAAAATCCTTGACTGAACTGGAAGTTGCCCAGGGTCTCCACTGCAGTCAGCTTCAATTTCCTTTAGTGATCATTGACTGGCTGGCATGGCCTTTTTGTCTCAGAAGCCTGACTACCCTATTTTGGGGCTACCAAGCTCTCCTTCCCTTCTTTGTATAGCCTCCCCAAACCAACACTTCCTGCCATTTGTCCCTTGGGCCAAACCTGCCTTCAGTTTGCCTGAGGACAAGCTTCCTGAGCATTTGGGCCCTTTGATCCCCCCAGAGCCAGTAAGAGAGGGCAACAGAGGTTGAATAGAACTGTGGTTGTCGAGGGGGACCAGTGAGTAGCAGGGGTGGCAGGCCATAAATCCCTGGGGGAACAAAGGCAGCAGCCAGCCTGCAGACATTCAGGCCTCTTGTGGGCAGTCTGCCCAGGAGACTCAGAGAATCACCTTTTGGTTTGGAAATTAAAGAGGGGGTGCCCTTGGGGTTATATGGTAAATAAAAATGCAATTAAGAGTCTCCCAAAGGCACTCAGAAGTTCAGTGAAACAGACATATCTGGTCATTTAGGGGAGTTTGCAGAGGCCTCTGTGCTTGCCAGGACTCTGCCTTTTATCCCCCATCAGAACTTGGAGTTAGGCGGGTCGGGCCAGGAGACAGAATCAAGCCCCCTCCCTCCTGCTCAGAGAGCTTCTGAGAGGCTGTGCATTGGGTCCAGGATCCATTCATCTCTCTACTCCAATCCCCAAAGTCTTGGTTTGAAAAGTGGGAGGAGGGGGTGAGCAGGCTCTTCAGGCCTCCACTGTTTTGGCCTCACAAGAGTTCATCACTATAAAAGAAGGGCTGGGGTGGGAGAACTGTGCCGCTTTGTCTATATCATCCCTGATGGAGACACAAGGCCTTTCTGTTGGAGCACCCTGACCTCCCTTCCTTTAGCCTGGTGGCTGGAACACAGGCAGCTAGCTTTGGAGGGCCAGATAACCTGGTGCCTGGGGTCAGAGTCTGAGGTACTATGGGGGCTGAGCCAGGCAGCCACACCCCTCCGTTTCCCAATGGAAAGACTATGGGGGCATGATGACACAATTAGGTTTATATTATAGACAGTTTGCTTCTGCAGTCTGAGGGAGGGTGTGTGTGACACACACACACACACACACATACACACACACACACACACACACACAGATACAAAGAGAAAGGGAACCAGCAAGAAGCAAAAAGTACAAGGAAAGCTATCAGGAGGCCTTTGGGATGGAAGATTCCCTAACGCAGAATTAAAAAAAAAATTCTTTTGACAATCTTTGATCTCTGTTCAGGTTTTCCTCTGTACTATATTAAAAATACATACAACTGAAAATAAAAATATACTTGCTTTATTTACCAATTTTCTAAAAGGCAAAAAGGTCATAAAAAGACACAAGCAGTCAAACAAATATATTGCACTGTGCGAAGAAAGTTTGGTTTGCATGTGAACAAACCACTTGTCTGGCAAGGCTCAACAAATCATCACACAAACTCTGAGAGCTTATTTACATATCTTTTAGGAATATATTAAAAAGGAGGCTCAGTTTAAAATAGAAAGTTTTTATAACACCCGTGTAAGCATACATACTGAAGAAAACATGACTTGATGCCTGGCATCATGTAAACAAATTCACAAAATAATCCTACGAAGTCAACTTCTCAGCACATGTTGAAGCCACACAGTTAACAATCAATGAGTATATATTAAGTAATAAAATAATGCTGATGGTAAACATTCATAACAGTAGAGTGAGAACGTTTTGGCAGTTTTGTGTTTAGGTGACACAAATGTACCCTTAGATTATCAACTATCCGCTTATGATCTGACTTTACAGGCAGGAAGCAGTCTGTAACATCTAATTCCCATAAAAATGCAGACTGCTACTTTATCTTCGGCATCTAACAGTGATGTTACTTGGTAAATTAAAAAAATTAAAGTGTTCATATGATTATAAAAAATAGGCTTAATATTCAGGCATCAAGTGGTTTTACCATGAAAACCAACTGGATTACAAGGAGACTTCACCTTTCTCTAACTGTTTTTCCATCAAAGAACAAGGACAACCCTGCTTCCTTTTAAGCTTCATAGACTTGGTACAATTTTAAGTTAATTATTTCATCAGTGGTAACTTCGAATTCACACCAGGGATCAACGTTGCATTTTCCAAACAATCTTTGGGATATACGATGCAATAGGTTTTACATAAAGCTGGGCAGACTGGCCTCACTTTTCCCCAAATGTCCAAATGACCTGAAGATGCCGGTGACACTGGCAGAGACCTGAAGCTGCACCAAGCAAGGCTGGGCTCATGGAAAGAATAAGGGCCAGGCATCCAGCCCAGGGTTCAGTGGGAGAGGTGAGCTGAAAGCACAGACACAGTCGGAAGCTGTGGGATTCACAGTGGCAGTGGCTGCTCTCAGCCAGAAGATGTGGGCGTGGCTGGGTGGGGGTGGATGTCTGGACAGCTCCAACTGAAGACGACCAGACACAATTGGGTCCCACATGTGCTGGTTTGCAGAGGGAAGTTACCATAAAGAGATGACTGATAACATATGTTTATCTACATATAGGCCGTCATGGTCTGAAAAGGGGACATGAATGATGTGGAAATACACAGAGGGTCTGGGTGTGCATTAATCTGATGGAGTTGGTTACACAAAAAACTAGGCTGCTTTACTCCAGAGCAAATGTTTCAACTTTGTTCACTACAAACAAAAGCTACGTCAGATTGAAATATTGACCACAACAATACCTGAAGCCAAAGCTGTTGGTTTGCCAAACTATGTTTCATACCATTAAACACAATCGATTTTTAAAAGAAAATAAGAAGAGGCTGTTAGCTCCACTTGGTATGTTTAACAAAACAAAAACCAAAACTTACCTTGACTAAATGATAATTTAAATAAAAAGCAGTCCCAAAGAGAGGACAAAATTTGATCAGATCCAAACACACTCTGGGAAGGCTGCAGTCCTCAGCTTGGAATCACATGTGGCATCCTGGCCACTTGTCACAGCCTGATATGAGGCCTCGGGACAGCCCAAAGGAGGCCAGCAGGCAGTGGTACACTGGACAGAGATCTCATCACATCAAAGGACTTTAGAAAGTGCTGAGGCAACTTCCCTGACACAAAGAGGCGTTTAGTCTTTCTCAAGTTAAATAACAACTAAAATCTTTTCAACCATCCCATAAAACTCCATATTTATATTTTAAATATAAATACGTATTTCTTCCCAAACCTTCCCCACCCTCCAGTTTTAAGTTACCCCTTTAGAAAACTATGTTTTTTTTCTAAAACAAAAAAAGTAACGTGTTACGTGTCCATTTCATTAGAAACAAGCATGAAGATCTTTCATCTCTTCCAAGCACCATCTAATGTAGATCATTGACTGTTGGAACTGAGAATGGCAGGAGCTATGTCTGTTCTTTGTCCTTGTGAATCAAGGGGGGTCCATTTTCCTCTTCTTTGGTGGCTGATGCTTCACTGAGTCCAAGAGAAGGAATATCTTCCTCGTATGGTACACAAATGTTGCCTTTTTCCTTGTTTTCACAGTAAACACATTGCTTAAAATAAAAAAATGTGAGATCAAAAACAAGCATGAGATCTGAAATCTTCATTACAAAAAAGTCATTCAAACTGAGTAAGGTGCAGGTGACCTTCTCATTTGAAGCTGTGGGCAACAAAGACAAAAATCCCTGCCCCAGGGAGCTGACATTCGAGTCGAGGAGTGGGTCAGTAACATAAGTAAGAGGTGTTCTCGAGCATACTGGAAGAGGAATAGTGCTATGTGGATGTGGAGCAGGGCATGCAGAAAGCATGTGTGGAAGACATCTGTGATCGTCAAGTGGACATTCAGAACAGGCCACAGAAAAGATGACTGCAATGGTTTTGAAACATGTCCACACATGCTTTGTGCCTTCTCTCCCAAAAGATGGAGCCTAATTCCTCTCACCTTAAGCCTGTGCTGGACTTAGGAGTTTGCCTCTAGCAAAGAGTGCCTGACTTGTGGTTCTAGGTCATCAAAGCACCCCGTCTTCCTTTTGTTCTCTGTAGGGAAGTTGTCTGTCATGTCAAGAGTACAACCAGGCAGCCCTACAAAGAGGACCCATGGCAAGGAACGGAGGCCTTTGCCAACAGCCAGCACAACCTGATAGGCCTGCAAGTAAGCCTCCTTGGAAGCAATCCTCTGCCACTATCTTGCCTTTAACCTCAGGAGAGACTCAGAGCCAGAACCACCCAGCTAAGCTGCTCTCAAATTCCCACCCCAAAGAAACATGTAACACGTGTTTATTGTTTGAAGTGTTGGGATTATATGCTATGCAGTCATAGATAACAAATACAGCGGCATGTGGAAAAAAGACCTGTAGGAAGCCAGAGTGAGCCATGTGTTTATCTGAGGAAAGAGGAGTCCAAGCAGAGGGCAGGACAAGTGTAAAAATTCTGTGGTAGGAGATGGCCTGGGGATTTTGGGGAGGCCAGCGAAGCTGGAGGAGAGGGTGAGGGAAAGACAAATGGGAGATGGGAGAGGAGGTGTAGGAGGCTCTGCGACCATTTATTCTGACTGAGATGGGGAGTGCTGGAAGGGATCTGAGCTGTGGGTGATATGATCTGACTGGAGGGGGACATGGGGAAACAGTGAGAACAGCATGGAGGCCACTCTGACATCCAGGGGAAGCATCATCATGGCTTGGACCTGGATAGTGATGCTGGAGGGATGAGAAATGGCAGGCTTCTATCCACCTTCAAGGGCAAGCCCAGATGACTTGCTAATGGTCTAGAGGGGTCTGAGAGGAGAGTCCAGGGCAACTTCAAGGCTTGCGACCTGAGCAATGGAAGAATGGAGTCACCCTTGAGTAAGATGGGATGAGAGAAAATAGATTATTCTCTCTGAGGATAATCAGGAGCTCAGTTTTGGACTGGAGATGGACGTCAGGGAATCCCCCCCCACAGACACTATTTCCAGTCAGGAGATAAGAGGAGGTAATCCCGGAGTGATTGCAAATGAAGAAAAGAGGTGCAGACACTGAACCCAAGGGTGGGGAGAGGAGGAAGAGCCCATGGGGAGACCAGGAGGTCAAAGACAGCTTGAAGAGCACGGGGCCCGAAGGCCAGGGAAGGGAGAGCTTCCAGGACAGTCATCCTCACTCACTGATGGTACCAATTCCTAGGCTGAGGACTGAGAGGGCTGAGAAGTGACACTGCATCCTGCTGCTGGAGTACCTTGAGATTTGACAAGAGCACTTACACTGAAGGCACTGAAGGTGGGGCTGAAACTGCCTGGGGGGAGGAGGTGTTAGGAGAGAGCAAGGGAGAGAGGCTAGAGTACACACGTCTGAAAGGACACGTGCCTGGAAGAGCATGACAGCAGTGACTCAGTACTTCCACCATTATGTAGTTATGTAATGGTCTCCATGGACACTGAGGGTTGTGACAGGAGACATGTTTTGTAAAACAGAAAATGGAACTGAAAGAAAGGAAAAACATTCAGATTTTGGCAAGTGATTGAGATTAGATTTTTCAGCCTTTTTGGAAACAATGGAAAGTTATTGGAAGAAAGTTCTTTGAAGTAGACTTATCGGTGTTGCAGTGCCTTTTAAAAAAATATATACTTTTAATTTCAGAGGGTTTTTTTGTTTTGAGTTGGAGTCTTACTCTGTCACCCAGGCTGGAGTGCAGTGACACGCTCACGGCCACTGCAGCCTCGACCTTCTGGGCTCAGACGATCCTTCTGCCTCAGCCTTCCAAGTAGCCGGAACTACAGGTGTGTGCTACCACACCCAGTTAATTTTTTGATATATTGTAGAGATGAGGTCTCACCAAGTTGTCCAGGCTGGTCTCAAACCCCTGGGCTCAGGCAATCCTCTCGCCTCTGCCTCCCAAAGTGCTGGGATTACAGGCTTGCGCCACCATGCCCAGCCTCAGAGTTTTAAATTTATAGAGAAGTTCCCAAGATAGTACAGAGAGTTCCCAGAGCTTACCACCACGTCCACAGCTGTGGGCAGGCCACCTCTCTCCATCCACGGGTGGACCTCATGCAGCTCCTGCTTCTGACCCTCTGTGAATCTGGGCTGGAATTTCTGCAAGACCTTCAGCTTCTGTCTGTCTTCCTTTAAAACTGTTTCTAAATTTCTTCAGAAAGTACATAGGTAAGCTTTAGAATGTCTCAAAGGCTTTTGTTCCTTTTAAATAATACACTCATTTTCTTCCAACTCTTTCAATATTAATAAAGTAGCTTTAGATGATTTTGTTTAATTTCCTTAAATTACTGTGTTTAAGGTAATTAAATCTCCCTAGTAAATAATCCATAGCCTCTCTATTAAAATGATAATCTGAGTCAAGATTTAATTTTACTGTATTTCAAACTAGACCTGGGAGCAGGTGTGACTTTGTCCCCCCTTGGGCTTGGATCTGCACAGCATGGTTCACCTGAGAGATTCTTACCAACCAGACCACATGTAGGATAACCTGTCACTGGCCAACACTGTCTGGACTGCAGCTGCCCTGGAGATGAGCCCGTCTCCCTAGACTGATCAGAGGCCTCAGGGTTAATCTTTCCTACCTTCCTGGCTTCTCCTACCAGGGGTGCTCCTCAATGGCAAAGGCCATTTCTAGTTCCACAGAACAGCCTGACATGGCCTGAGCCTGGGCACAGGTCCAGGGTCATTACAGAGCAGCTGGGCCTTGGATTGGTCACTCACCTTGACCCTTGGTTTCTTCATTTCCATGACAGACAAACACACACATTTACCCCACAGAGTTACTGAGCAACAGAGCAAAAGAGGAAAGGCTGGCACAAATGCTTCATAAAAGTTGAGTGGGGCACCCTGGACAAAGTACCAAGAGCCTACCTTCCTTGCAGGCTGTAGGAAGTTACTCTACAAGGCCTGGCTTACCCTGGCCACACTGCAGGGCTGCACTGGCCCACCTGAGTCATTCGGAGGGAAGCCTGCTTCTCTATTGCTGCACTCAACTGAATCCTAATCTTTCAGAGGATGTCCCACCTGTCTGGATGCTGTGTTGGGGCACTCCTTAACCCCAGACCTCCCCGGGTTCCTAGGAAAGACTGGATGGTTACCGGGAAGGCAGCTGGTATGTCATCATGACACTGTTGTCTGCGTCTGCCATCAGCAGCCAGATGGGATCCTGCAGGACGTACTTAATGAAATGCTCACTTTCTTCCATGTCTGTGTTCATTTTTGCTTTGTGATTATTCTCTGAAGAGTCAATGCTTCCAAAATATTTGCTAGTATGACTTGTGTCACTACTTCCTTTAAAAATACAAAATAGAGGATCAAAACCTTGAAATATAAAATTAAACCCTGCATAATGTGCTTATGTAAAGTCATGACAACTTTTGAGAGCTCAAGAGTTTTATTAGGTAATGAGTGTCAGTGTTGGTGGATTTTTTCCCTTCTCTTTCCAGTTCTTGAATGATCTAGATAATTAGGAAACAGGATATGCTAGTGCCATGGAGGTGATTCTTTCCTGAGGAGGTCCTGAGAAGTTCGGGCAGAGCTATGTCTTAGAAATCTTGATATTCTCTCCCAAGTTTGCACTACTTTTGACTCAGTGCTGACTGCAAGACAACTGTGCTTTTGTAAGAAGGGAGGCAGCTGGCCTGGAGCGTCCCCCAGCCAGCCTCTCCCAGGCAGAGAGGCCTGCAAATGGAGATGAGTGAAAACTCACTTCAGGGAAATAGGAGAGCTTCAATTTAAAAAAAAAATTTTTTTTGAGTTGGAGTCTCACTGTCACCTAGGCTAGAGTGCAGTGGCATGCTCACAGCCATCATAGCCTCAACTTGCTGGGCTCAGGTAATCCTTCTACCCCAGTCTTTCAAGTAGTTGGAATTACAGACGCACGCCACCATACCTGACTAATTTTCAAATTTATTGTAGAGACAAGGTCTTGCTATGTTCCCCACACTGGTCTTGAATCCCTAGGCTCAAGCAATCCTCTTGCCTCCACCTCCCAAAGTGCGGGAATTACAGGCGTGGGCCATTGCACCTGGTGGGAGCTTATATTTTATGGATAGCATGTGTGTTTCTGGTGATCATGATTCTAGATCACACTTGAAAGATCCCAGCCAGTAAAGGCCTGCAGGTGGTTTGTACCCTGTGTTTACAGGGTGAACTAACTCAGAAAAGTAAACCACCTGGGGAGACCAAAGGGCGTGAGGTCTGTAGTGACACCAAAATCAGAAGCAAACAGTTAGGGTATGGAATTTTGATCAGCTAGTGCATGCCACACCGAGCTGGGAGAGTGTCTCCTGTGTGGGTTCGAGGGACCCCTCAGGGAGTACCAGTGTGATGCCTGCTCTGAACACAGAGGTTGGCCTGCGGTTCTGGAGAAGTCCATCGTGTGGGAATCTCCCAAGTGCCTAAAACACACCCACGCCCCCAGTGCCAACATACCTGCCCCACTTGGGGAAGCATCACAGCCCAGCGAGCTGGAGCCCAAAGAGTCTGAGGTGGCAGAAGCTCCGCTCCCCGAAAGGGCCGAACCTGAGGCCGAGCAGAGGTCTTCATTCAATAAGAGGTTCAGCAGGCCGCTGGATGTGGAGAGGGCATCACTGTGCTGGGTGTCTGAAGACTCGTTGTACTTCAGGGACAGGAAAAATACACCACTGTTCAGGGGTTCAGTCATCACACCCACCCATACTAGTGTGTGTTAGACTGAGACACATGCACGGTAGGGATGGAAGAGAGCTGCCCAGCAATCTGCAAAGTTCACTTGTCAAGAAAAAGACCAAATGAGATCATGTGGTCACTGGACTAGGGGTGGCATTTTGCTGGTGCTTGATGAATAATATCAAATTACACTTAATTTCAGGAGAGTCACACCAAAGACTGCAGTGCTTGGGCCACAGTGGGGAAAGCCTTATGCTGCTCCTTGGCCACAGCCTCTTCCTTATGTGCAGCAGATATGGAATCAGGAAAACACCCGCAGCACCTCACAGGCCTGCTTCTCACAGTGGGTGTGGCTCTGCACCCCCAAGTGGGGGTTGCCTTGGGAATGAGGAAGGAGCTTGGCCTCAGAAGCATCCCTGATCCTCAGATCCTTGAAAACCCGGATCAGAGGCCCAGGACCCCAGAAACAGGAGTCAGGAGGTGGCAGACAGACTGAGGGAGCCAATATACCATATTTCCAAGGCTCTGCTTCTTACACAGGAGGGCTTGGACCTCAGACAAAGGTAGGGAGCCCCCAAGATGGTTTCCTCCTTTGAGCGCCTATGATTGCACTTCAGTTAACGCTTCTCTGTACACCTAAGCTCATTCAGAAACACACGAGTGTTTAATCAGAAATAAAATTACAATTGTATCAAGTGATTAAGAATTCTACACCAGCATCCATAAGCCTTCAGAGGATGGAAACTCAGGTGATGCTGGTTTCAGGGCCTCAAAAGCACATGCTCTCCTCCTCTTCCCTTCATTGTGGCACCTGAGTCAGACTCTCTGGTACTGCCCTCTGAGAAGCCTTCATTCTGATATTTAACCTGATTGTGCTTTACCTTTGAAGAGTCATTTAAAAACTCAAGGCCCATAAATGCTATCAAGAAGTCACAGGCCACTGTTAGACTCTGCATGTCCCACAATCTATTCTCTTCCATTCAGATTTCAAGACAATAAAAAGCGTCAAACAATCTACTCTGATAGAATGGCTTAACTAAGAAGCACTATTTTCTGGCACATATATTCATGTGAAAATCTAGTCTGGTAGAAACCTTCAATGTGTACCCCACTGTGTCTGAGCTGAGGATGTGTAGCCTAGCATGGTGTACTATTCGCTGCATGCTCTGGGGAAAGGGCATCAGGAAATTCTTACTGTTGGAGGCTCCTTTGGCTTCCGGTCCCGAGTAGTGCCAGGTTTGCAGTCCGGCGCAGCAGCTGCTGTCCCTGTAACCCCCATGGTCCCTGTGGCCCCAGTGCTTCCCTCAGGGACCTCCTCCAGCTGCAGCAGGTTGAGCTGCAGGGGTGAGCTGCCACGGGATTGAAAGAGTGGTGGGGAGGCCCTGCCCATCGTGGCTGATGGTGGGGTGGCAGGGGTGGCTGGACAAGTGCACGGCTGTCTGGGGAGTGAGGTTCGGCTGGGAAACTCGGGTTGTGAAGCAGGGGTCATCTCTGATGCGAGTGTGGGGTGGCCTGGAAAGTGAGGTTGGCCAGGGAAGAAGGCTTGGGGTAGGTTTGAGATCTCTGGGGAAAAGGAATAGCTGGGTAACATGAATGCCATGACAGGGGCCAAGGGGGTGGGTAAGACCGAGGGCTGGATCGCAAACTGGTGCTGGGCATCCAGGGGCACGGTAGGCACTGCAAAGCTGGCATGGGGAGCTGCTGGCGGTGCTGCCACCATCCCTGGTGCTGGAAACACAGGCAGGGAGTAAGCTGGCACTGGAGTTGGAAAGGGCATAGCTGGGCAGCTGGACTGGGATGTGTCTGAGGGTGACCAAGCTGTGGTGTTCAGGCCCATGAGTGGGAGCCGGTGGGGCACGGGACCCCCAGACCCAGTGCTCTCGGAGGAGTCTCTAGGCTTGACCCGCTTGGACTTTAGTTTTCTGTTCTTTCCAGTTTTTTTCCAAGATGAATCTATTCCAGAAGTATTTCTTAGTCCAGGGGCAGCTAACATATGGAAAACAACTAGAGTTAAAATTTTTTAAAAATGTATGTGATTCTCATTATGTCAATTCTCAGAGACTTATAGAATTTCAGAAACTTGAAGGCACCTCTTAGTTCAACAATCCTCTATGCCCAAATGCCCTCCCAGGGCCTATGTAGTCCACCTTATGGTTTTCCCTGGTTCTCGATGAAGTGAGAAAAATTAGTGCAAAATATTAGGTTTTCCACACAACTAAATTGAATCATTTTAAAGGACAGACCCTAATTGTAAGATCACATTTGTTCTTTCATTCTGGTATTAAAATGTTCTTTCTTTCATGAAATGCTAACATGATAAGTGGCATTTAAGAGATTCTATTTGTAAAAATAAATAAAGAAGCTGGCAAGTATCTGCTGCTCCCCAAAATATGGGGGGGGTATTGGTTTATGAAAATTGAAAGACAGAACCGCTGACCTCATCTAGCTTTCTTATTTTTCAATTTTACAAGCTTTATCACTACATTCCTTAAAGAGAAATGTTTCCTCTTTCACCTTTCAAATAAACTCTGAGTGCAAGATTGGAGGGGAACATTTGCTCTCAGAACCAAATTCTTCAAATTCTTCCTCTCCATATTGTGGACCAAGGCTTTCTTCAGGAGGATAGAGGGATTCAGCCAGAACAGGAGGAACTCTGAGTATATCCCTAGTGCCTCCCTGGAGGAGAGTCCAAGGGACCTCAGTTTTCTCCTCATATCATGCAGAGTAACTTGGGGGCTGTTGCAGCAGGTGTGTGGGGACATCTGTCAACTGTGCCAAAAGGGTGCCATACATTTGTGACATACTGAAGACAAACATGTCAGCCCAAGTCAAACTTCTATGTGAGTGGTAGTTTTACAGTTCAGTCTCTCTATCTGGTGTTTTTCCTAGAAGAAATCTGTACCCTAGTGGGACTAGTGGTTGAAGCACTGAGCTCTTGGGATACACTATCTGGGTCTGGCAGGGCTGCCCTGGACAGCTGTGCAGTCTGTACTACACAAACTACTGGTCTAGGAGATGAGCAAGAGCTGGAACTCTGAACTATTAGAAATAAGGTATTTTAAAAAGTGATGTATTGTCACTTACTTCGTTCACTCAGCTGCCCCTTGGACCTTTCTTGTAAGTAGTAATGGCAATGAGACTGGAAAATGTTGAGTTTCCTTATTTCTTTGAACTTCTGCAGGAAGCTCTGCTCCTCCTTCTGGGTGTGTGTGGCGAGTAACTCCTTGGTAAGGCCCAGCTTCCTGAAGGCCTCCTTCTCCTGACTAAGGCCACAGTGCAGGGAGGGGACCAGGCAGTCGAGGGACTCAGGCCCACTGGCAGCATCTTCTATTGTTTCTGTAACACAAGATCCCAGGTGATCCACATGTGTCCCTTGTATTTATTTTTTTATTTATTCATTCATTCATAGAGACGAGGTCTCACCATGTTGCCTAGGCTGGTCTTTTGTTTACTTCTTGTTTTTAAAATTTTATTTTATTATTTTAAACATGAGGGGTACAAATCACATAAGTGGTCATCGTACAGATGAAGTTTGGGCCTCCCACTGGTCCCTACTTTACCTTATTTGGGATCAGGTACCCTTATTAATGTTATGTGCCCCCCCTTCCCCTGGCAGTAATTCACTGCTGCCAACTTAGGCTGGTCTTGAACTCTTGGGCTCAAGAAATCCTCTCGCTATGGCTTCCCAAAGTGCTGGGATTACAGGCATGAGCTACCATGCACAGCCTGCTCCTTTTATTTTAAACCCACATTGTGTTTATGAACAAAAGAAATCATTCACATGTAAAATCGCTCCCTGATACAAGGGGCACAAGGATGTCTTTGTTTAGCTTTCTAGGAAAGCTCACAGTAAAAGGCAAGAAGCAGGGTGGGACGGCCTCGATTATAGGTGGCTCAGGAACCAGTGGAACCTCAGCTTCAACTCTGTTCTCAAAGATATTCCATGCTGGGCACGGTGGCTCATGCCTATAATCCTAGCCCTTTGGGAGGCCGAGGCGAGAGGATTGCCTGAGCCCACAGGTTCAAGACCAGCCCAGGCAATTTGGCGAGACCTCATCTCTACAATAAATAAAAAAAATTAGTGGGGCACGGTCGTACATGCCTGTAGTCCCAGCTACTTGGAAGGCTGAGGTGGAAGGATCACCTGAACCCAGCAGGTCAAGGCTGCAGTGACCATGAGTGTGCCACTGCACTCCAGGCTGGGCAACAGAGTGAAACTCCAACGCAAAAAAAAAAAAAAGATATTCCTAGGCTGTCCTTAGCTTTTAGAACACAACAGACAAAAGTCCATGTGCTGCATCTTTCTGGTTTGGGACCAAGCAGTGACAGTTGGGGTCTCAAGGGCCCATAGGGATAGACATGACGGGACAGGTGAGGCCCTCTGACCATCCCGAAAGGAAGGATCTGGGGACTGGATCTCTGACTGGCACTTTTTCCCTCATCATCTCCCTCTTCCTAGTAGAGAACAAATTCAGGGTGCATTTTAATCACAGTATTCTGAAGAACAAGGAAACTCAGTCATGAATGCCCTTCGTCACACATCTTGTTACAGCCTGTACTGGCTCCGTCTACAAACAGGGAGAGCTAACGGTCCCTCCTCCTGCTGGTCAGAGGTAAGAGTCTCAGCCCCACCAGGGAAAAGGGTGGTGGTGTGGGGGGACTTGCTTACAGTGTTCTCTCAGCATCAATCAAGGGGGATTCCTGTACCACAATCGGCCCTTCCATACTAAGGCCGGAGCAGACGACTGCAAATGGGTGGCGCAGCAGGGACCAGGAAAGGTTGGTATCTGAGCCCTGGTTGGCTGCACCCCATCTCTGCATTTTATGTAATTGGATGTCCTGGAATCCCCCCTCATTGGGCTACGTTGGGTTCTTCTGCACTTAGAGAAATTTAAAGAAATTTTTAAGATAAAGTCAAACTCACTTTTATTTTAAAAATCTGATTGCCCTCTGCCAAATTCCCAGTCATACCTAACTCCGGCTGTGGCTTTTTGTCTCCTACATGAACAATGGTGCTGCTGTAGCTGCACTGGCTGGTGAGGGACACCACGCTCTCAGCCTTGCCAGGCAATGCCAGTGAGGTCAGGTGAGCGCTAACTTCCGTGTGGCTGTTCTCCTTGGAGGGCAACACTGACTCTTCACAAAAGAAAATGAAAGCAAACACAAAAGAACAATTAAAACGAACCATTCTGATAAGGAACACCACCTGTCTAGACGGCACTCTACTACTCAGGTGACTGCACGGCCTCCACACCAGGCTTCACACAACCCATCCCAGACGCTTTGGCCAGGCATGTAACAATTTGCCCCCAATGTTTATTCATTAGGAGAAAGGTGGAGAAGAAGGAGTTTTGAAAAGGGAACAGTTACATTCTTAAACACAGCAGCTCCGTAGCTGCAGGAAGCTCTGGGTAAGGGGATTCTGTCTGGAGCCAGGCAGCCCTTCTGCAGGCCTGTGGGGAAGGGCTTCTCCAGCTGTCAAGCACCAGCCATAATCTGAGCAGTATCAACAAACAGTTGACTCTACCTCTGTGTGGGTTAGGGTGGAGTCTGTCCAATCACAGGATGAGTGTCCTATCTCTTGTGCTTTTCTCAACAATGGGACATTATTTCTCAGCCCAGTACTGACCATCAGCAACACTAACAACATTTGAACAGCCTACAATCGAATCTGATCTGTGGGGAGTGCTAACATGCATAGGCAGGGATCCTCCAAGATGCACTGAAAATGGGACCCTGCCCTAGAATGACAACTCGAGACCAGTGCATCTGCAGGAGGGGGCTCAGGGGATATCCTCAGGTCTCCAGCAGCCCCACTGGGTTCCTGTTCTCAAAGCCAAGGCTCTGAGACCAGAATCAACTTAACCTTTTGGCTTGTAAGCAGGCTGACTTTTGAACGACTTTGATCATTGAAAAAATAGCCTATACTTTGACACTGTATCCATAGAAGCCACTCTGACATCTAATCTGGTTCTACTACATAGCATTTAAGTTAGCACACATTTAACAACTCAAAACAGACCAGATACCTCCTGTGTGCAGCCCGGGGCTGACTGTGGCCTTTCGTTTATCACTGGACCTCAGTGTTGGGATGTTTGCCGGGAACTCACACTTCCTCTTCAGGGTGGTGGCCTCACTGCAGCTCTCCAAGTACCTGCATGGAGGATGTGAACGGTGGTGCTATCCAACACAAGAGGTAGGAAGGTGCGTGAGACGGCAGAGGGGTTGGAACCGCCAGCATACCTGATGACACTGTCCAGGCAGCTGATCTGCTGATAGGAGCAGGCAGGCTGGTTCTTGCAGGCTAGCTCCTCAGGAAAGCTGACTCTGGGGAAGCTGGCCCCTGAGTTGTCCATTTCTGTGACTGGGACAGCTTTCGTCTGAGCCGGGGGACCACTTTGCATTTCTGAAAAAAATGACAAAATTATACTTCCATTGAGTACTTCTTCACCCAAAGAGCACTCTATATTTGGAAAGCATTTTAATTCCACCAAAAGATAAGGCTGGGGACTCAGCATATGCTTTTAGGTACGGAGACCCAGTGACAGCTCAATATCCAGCAGCCCTCTGTTGTGAGCACCTCGGTGCCCTCTGCAGAGGGACCTTGGAAGGAACTGTCATCTGGGCCTAAGGCATGCTTCCCTGGGGTTCAAGCTGTCCCCAGGGGTCAGGAACTCAGCAGCGGGAAAGGCCAGTTCTCACGTGAGGCCCTAAACTTTAGGGGCAAATTAGATCCCAGGTGCTTTTTGCTCTTCCTGAGCATGTCAGTGTTTTCACGTGTTCCCTGATGTTAATGATCATAATGGTAACCACCTCCTAAATTGTGCTGTGGGTTCTATTTTTGTCCTCACCACACACACCACATGCTTATCCTCCTCAGGGACCTCAAGAAAAGAGCTGTGACCAGCTCATTTGTATATCCCCAACACCCAACACAGAGTCCAGCATGCAGCATGTTCACCAACATCTCCCAAAGGCCAAAAATCTCCAAAGGCCAAAGAAGGGGTGAGCCTACCAGGTTGAGAGGACTGTGCGTGTGTGCGTGCGCGCTCACGTGTGTGTGTGTACCTGTATGGGTATGCATGCTTGTGTGAGAAATGCACACTGGACAGAGAGGACAGCATGAGCCAAGCATGTGAAACCACCTAAGCAGTGTGGCAATGTGATGAGGAAGGGTCTGCTGCAGTGGGGATGGGCTGTACCTTACACTTCAGACAGGTTTGCAGCTGGGCAGACTCCTGAGATGCTTGGGTATGTGTGTGAATTAAGCTTGTATGAGTGCAAGCACATGGCCACAGAGCCACTCTATAGAATGAGAACAGCCAAGGCCATAGCTCCTAGGCATGATCAGCAGGCAGGCCTGGGGACAGAAAGGCACATCTGGCCATACCAAGACAGGCCCGCAGGGCATCAGATGCCCAGTGTGGACATTAGCATGTGCATTTGTTGAGCAAGTGAAGGCCTAGATACCCTTCTCTCACAGAAGGAGTAGACTCTGGAGAACAAGGGTGAGGGTGCAGCAAGCATGTGAATGATAGATACCCTGCCAGAATCAGCATTAAACCCAGATCCCTCTTTTTACCTGGCCATATGAAAGTTTTACCAATAAAATACTACCTTTAAAAAAAATTACCTGAAAAAGATTTTTTCTTTTGCTCTTCAGATTCATACGAATAATGACTTCTATTTTTGGTCTTGCTACCATTTTTATAAATTTCCTTGAGGAAAAACAAATGAACATGTTATTCATTCTAGGAGACCTTCTTTAGTTTGTCCTGCACAGTGAGAACAGAAAACAGCTGAGATAATCCCAGCACCACACAAAAGTAAATTCTGAATGAAAACTGACAGATGCAGAGCTAGATGAAACTTAATTGAAGATCCTGAAGAACAGTTTAAAAATAAAGCGAAATGGCGCATTACATTTTCTTCTTTCTATCCTATAGTTAAATCTTCACTTTTGCTTGCTTTAAATCATTTTCATCCAACCTCTGGCTACAGTTTCTAGCTGCTTCAACTCTTAAGAGAGTATAAAATAAGTCCCAAGTGAAGAAAGTTTAGAGAGTTAGCAGAAATGGCTGAGATTAGAAAGACTTTGGTGACTGCCAAGGGTTATCTTTTAATGTGATTTTTAACTTTGGATATGCATCTACAGACTTGTTTTCTCAGAAAAAAGAACAAAGAGGACGTACGGCTCTCCTCCGGCGAGAATCCTCGTGGCCGTTGCTGTCACTAGAGGAGGTCTGGCTCATGAGATGCTCATGGGACCCATTGCTGCCCAGACTCCCATAGCCACTGGAGCCGCTGTGGGGGACAGGCTGGGGAGACAGCAGACAGCATTACGGACACACCTGGAGCCAGGTGAGCTTTCCCTGGAGCTGCAGCGCGTGGTGATCCTCCCAACATGTCCTGTTTTACGGAGGCCGGTGACCTGCCCAAGGTCACATAGCAAGGACAAAGGGGGCTAGGGTTTACAGCCCAGGGTCTTCCAATGGTGGACTCCTGGGCACCACCCACAGTGCCCCATCCCCAGATATGCAGTCACTGTAGAGACTCCACTAAAAGGGAATTTGTTCAACCCGCTCACAGCTATGGCCAGTTATGGGTCTATTGAAGGGTCCTACAAGCAAAAAATATTGCAACAGTTTCACTCCATAGCCTATAGGTACCAAGTAGCAGAAATCTCTTCAGGTACGGGGCTGACTAAGGTAACATTGATTTTTCTTGACTACAATGTCCCCAAGTCCCAGCACTTTGGATAAAATTGAGACCTACACCCATGGGAGGTCACTCAGGGACTGTGCAGCCACGTAGGGGTGCAGAGCCTGGACATGTGTTTCTGCGGCTCATTCAAGGTTGTAGTTCATACAGACATCCGAATGCTAGGGTGGGAACAGCCAAGGGTGCATTGGACTGTCTTAGGTAGGGACAGACTATGCCCAAACCTGCCACTTGAGGGTGTTCAGAAAACAGCAGGAGTTGTCTGAGAAGATGTGCCAGGACTAGGATGTAAGGCAGAGCCCATGACCTCTGGAGGAGTCTGGACTTCAGGACATGGGGGCGCTCAGGCTGTTACATGGGGTAGGGCGTGTGGGTACCACACCTACCTGCAGCAGCAGCCGGTGGATCTGCTCTGTGAGCTCTTGAATGCTGGGGTATGGGGCCTTCTCCTCTGTGCATGGATGAGCTGCAAACACATCCTCATTCAAAGGGCCCCTGTGCGGTTTTAATTTGTCTTGTTAGACAGGGCCCCACAGCAGGGCCTCTCTGGCATTGAGAGTACAATTGCCACACGCAGCATGCCCAGGTGGGCTCTCTGTCTCCCCCCTGCAGTCCCTCATTCTGCTTGAGTGGGGTCCCTCCCACCTGGGGGCAGGGGGCAGGACATCCCTAGCCTGCTGCTGGACTCCTCCACAGGTAGGTGGTGGGAGGTGCCTTTGGTCCTGGCCTCCCAACCCCTCTACCATCTGCTGGTGGGAGGTGGGAGATGGGAGGTGAGGATGACCTGGAATGCCAGATGGAGACCCCTGAGTCGACCCTGGGAGCACTCACACCCTGACTTTGTGCCTCCCGATGATGAAGGAGATTTTCCTGCTCCACGGGTTGATGAAGCTGGACCAGCTGGTGTCCAGCGTAATGTACTCCCCATTCCGGGCACGGAACCGAATGGGAGAATAGTCGAAAGGCTGCCCACCGGACTGCAGGACTAGGAGAGTGAAAAACAGTGCTCAGTGGGGAAAAGGAGCAAACAGGGCTCGCAACAGAGAAAAGACAAGCCAAGTCAAGATATACTTGGGTCCAAGGTCATTTGCAAACTTCAGGAACGTGAATATTTCTTCAAAGCCAATGCTTTCAATCTCCCATTTCTGTTCTCATTTATTTATTTATTTTGAGTCAGAGTCTCACTCTGTTGCCCAGGATAAATTGCAGTGGCACGATCACAGCTCACTGAAGCCTCAGCCTCTTGGGCTCAGAGAATCCTTCCACCTCAGCCTCCCAAGTATATGGGACTACAGGTATGCACCATCATGACTGGATAATTTTTTTTTTTTTTTGTAGTGATGAAGTCTTGCTATGTTGCCTAGGCTAGTCTCAAACTCCTGGGCTCAAGTACATCTCTTGCTTTGGCCTCCCAAAGTGCTGGGATTACAGATGTGAGCCATTGTACATGGCCAGTTTACGCTTTTAACTGCAACAAGGAGGCTGTCTCTTGCAGAGGCTGTTTCGTCTTTACAGCGTCATCTACTTCTCTGAGGCCTGGGCTTGTTGAAGACACGTGTCATCCACTCCCCTGGCCTAGTTAGTATAGTACCTTCCCAGTCACGGCTGAATTGATCTCCTCTCCTCTCATTGGCCATTGAGGACAACAGTAAAAATGATATGCCAAGGGCTGAGGGACAATTGGTCACAAAGAAACCCACCTGACTTTACCATTCTCTTGACTCCACCTAGTGCTGTAGCATTAGGCCTCAAGAAGGGAGGCAGAACAGCCACCAGCCACTCATCCTTAGCTGATCTGACCTGTTAGTGCTTGGATCGGTCTTAGGAAGAAGCCCCAAGAGCATATGAGCCTCTGTCAAATGATTTAGGATATACCATGAAAAGGGAACCTACTCTTTTTGTGGATGGCCAGCATCAAGGGTCTGTCACTGGGGTGAAGCTGCACAAGCACAGGGGTCTCGATCAGGTCCTGAGGTAGATAGCCCAGGAGAGGGACCGCCCTGGAAGGCAAGCACACACATGCTAGAATATGGCTTCCGAACAGGGGAGATGGCCTCTAAAATCTACCTTATTCACTGGAAAAAGAAGACAAAACTTCCCAGAGATCAAAATATGGGTAGCCGAGTGAACAGACAGCTAGCTAGTCTTTCAATTTATTAGCAAATGAAAATCCTAGTGATTGCTGAATCTGTGACTCCTGTGTAATGGATACTTAGTCCATTTGCTAGGACCTAAGTGCTTAAGCTTTGTGTCTTTTCTCCTGAAAGAAATCATGATAACATTTTTGGTTTGCTTCTTCCAGGATCTTTTTCTTTTTCATGTCATTCATTAGTTTGGTCACATGTGGCCTGGCATGGGTTTTTGTTTCACAAGTTTTGCCTGAGCCATGGAAAACACTTTCTGTGTGCACCCTTTCCAGCTCAGGGCGTTTTCCTTCTCGTATTACTTTGGCCAGTGTGTCCAGTCAGTTTACTGTGACTTCTCCAGGCGTCGCAGTAACTAGCTGAGGCCTTTGCTCTGTGGCTATCACACCTCCTCTTGGAGCTGTTGCTCTGCTCAGTCGCAGGACAAGCTGAATTTCTGCAGCACCTCTGCTTGTTTGTATCCAGCGCCCTCTGCTGGCTCAGTCTCCTCTTCCCAGCTGCATCTCCAGCTCCTTGCATATAGGTATTTTCTCAAACTCCTCTGCTTGAGTGGAAGAACCACCTCCCTGTATCTTTAGATTAAAACTTCCCTATTCCTCATGGTACAGAACTTTCTCATGTGTCTGGCGTTATTTTTTAAAATATTCTCCTTGTTTGAGGCACTCTCTAAGCCTCATATTTTCCTTTGAACAGATATACAGAATGTTCCTGGCACCCTCCCAGGTCAAGGCCTGACCCAGGAGGAGAAAAAGGAGGTGGAGGACAACGAAGGGGAAAGAAGAGCAGAGGAGGGGAAAGAAAGAGGGGAGAAGGGAGGGAAAGAGGGAGCCCTGGCTACCTGCCCCGGCTGGCCTTGGGGCTCTGTGAGTTGGGGTGCCCGCAGGCTTTACTAAGGAAAGTTCTGCAAACTGTTACCCATAATGCCATGTGCACCTGCTCACCAACTCCCTGCACAAGACTGAGACACCTGGGAGTAGGGGGGGAGGGGTTGCAGACAGTTCCAAGAACTCAGAAGGAATAAAATCTCCTGACATTGCTTTACAATGCAGCTCCCAGGCCCCACCCTCCAATATCCTAGTTCAGCAGGACAGGGTGGGGTCCAGAAACCTGCATCTTGAAACTGTCTCTCTGGTGATTCTGCCCTAAGTGGTGGTGGAGAACACACCTGAGCAATCTGGGGCTGAAGGTGAACAGAGCAAAACTTCCCCAGGAGGCTGTGTGGCCTGACTCCAGGGGTGCAGTTCTTGTGTCCCTAGGCCAGGTGCAGACAATGGGGAGGACCTAATCCTCTACAGCTTCTAGGAGGCAACCTGGTTCGTTTCAGGAAGCCCAGCTTGATGGTGTTTCTTGGTTCACTTCCCATGGTGTCTTCTGAGGGCACATCTCCCCAAGTACTGCCAATAGCCCAAGCATTTTCTATGTTTTCATGCACCTGTGGAGGAGCAGCTGGGAGAAGGCACACGGAGGGGACAGAACCCACTCAGAAGTGGGGTGTTTCCAAATCTGACTGGGACAATTTGTACCTGCTATAGCACCCGGGGTGGGAGAGCCAGAGAGAGGAGCCTGAGCAGAGCTCTGAGCAGAGGTACGGAGAGGACCCTTTCCCACAGAGCAGCTTCCGGCACACATGATGAAAGATGGGCTTCTACTGGAATCCTGTCCACAGCATCTCTGGCTTCAGTCCTAGCACTGGCTCCAGGCTCCCTGCTTGTACCATCATTTACTCAAAATGAGTTTCAACAGGATAATAAAGACAGGCTTAATGAGAATGATCAACAGTTCTCCAGAAGGCCCCAATTAACAGTGTCCACATTGAGAAGTTTATAGTGAAACTCTTATTTCTTCTTCTTTTTTTTTTTTTTAAGAGATGAAGTCTCACTATATTTCTCAGGTTAGTCTTGAACTCTGGGCTCAAGGACTCCTCCTGCCTCAGTCTCCCAAACAGCTGAAATTATAGGCATGAGCCACTGCACCCAGTTATTCTATAATTATTTCTTTGCCTATTTATAATTAAACATTTTGTCCATTATCATTCATGTAATCATAAAGATAACATGCAGTCTCAGCTTTAGCTACATAGTTTTCACATAAAAAAACATTAACATTCCTTGAGCTTCATTTAAGTTGTTATTAAGTAACTACTAAGATGACGATGAAATACCAAGTGTCTTGTGAGGGAATCTGGTGATATGAAGAATGTCATATTGATTCCCAAACAAGTGACAGTGTAGGGAGAGCAGGGGCAGAGGGACAGGTTGATGATACCACCTACCTTTCATCCACATCCTGGAACAAACAATTCGGTGTGTGGGTGGTTGTAAAAATTCTCTTTTCAGGAGGAATTCTAGGGGCTGAAAGAAGAGAATATTATATACACTTCTGATTCCATGAAATAAATATTTAATAACATTAGATGAAAACTACTAGAATAACAGACAGCTAAAGAAAAATTTAAAATGTGGATGCTGAACAACAGAGTCCATCACATAGTCAGGAGGGTGGACTCTCGACCAGTGACCACCAGCCAATTTTCTCAACTTATTTGTGTACTAGTTTTAGTCTAGTAAAAAAAGGAATTGCCACATGGATCACATATAGACTTCTCTTAACAAAGAGAAGTTCCTCTGCTGAAAGTTCCTCTTCATGATTTTTAAGATGAAGCAAGAGTGATATGAACAAAACTGTTTTTCGTTTTCTGTTTTGTTTTGTTTTTTTGAGTTGGAGTCTCACTCTGTCAGGCTGGAGTGCAGTGGCACGCTCCCGGCCTCGACCTGCTGGGCTCTAGCGATCCTTCCACCTCAGCCTTCCAAGTAGCCAGAACTACAGGCGCGCGCTATCACGCCTGGCTAATTTTTTAATTATTGTAGAGATGAGGTCTCAACAAGCTGCCCGGGTGGGTCTCGAACCCAGGGGCTCAGGCAATCCACTCACCTCGGCCTCCCAAAGTGCTGGGATTACAGGCTGAGCTACCAAGCCTGGCCAACAAAACTTTTTTTTTTTTTTTTTTTTTTGAGTTGGAGTCTCACTCTGTCGCCCAGACTGGAGTGCAGTGGCCACTCCCGGCCACCGCAGCCTCGACCTGCTAGGCTCCAGCGATCCTTCCGCCTCAGCCTTCTAAGTAGCCGGAATTACAGGCATGCGCTACCAACCCGGCTGATTTTTTGATTTATTGTAGAGATGAAGTCTCGCTGCCCAGGTGGGTCTTGAACCTGCAGGCTCAGGCAATCCACTCACCTCAGCCTCCCAAAGGCGCGGGATTATAGGTTGAGCCACCAAGCCCGGCTCAACAAAACTATTTTTAAGAAAATTAGTTACATGCTTGGATTAAAAATTCTTAGCATATGTCACTGTATTGGAGAACTTCACAGTTTCTAAGGTGGGCAAAGGTAACTGAGTAATTTGCATAAAGGAGGTCATATTCAAAATTTTGCTCAACTACCAAATTCATGAACAAAACATTCAAACACCCAAAACTTTTCATTCTTGAAGGAGACTGATAATTTGGGGGAATAACTTGTTGAAATCTAAGTACCCTCTCCACATCCTTACTGAATATTTGGAAGAGAACATTCTATATGCAGGAATACATATTTAAAATATTTCTATCCTTTTAAGAAGTGCATTTTAAAAAAAGATATCCTTAGCTACTGAAAGATTATAAGTATAATGAAACATGGACTAAACTGGCTTCCCTGTAGTTAAGATGGATCACAGGAAGGAATGATCAAGGTGGCACAGTGCCTTGGGTCCCTTGGGCTTCGAGGGAAACCCAGGCTTCGTTTTGGGGGGGAGCTTGGGGAACCAGGAGAGTTACTGGTGAGATAAGCTGGCAGGATGACTGGATTTCTACAGGCGAGGTGGAGGGAACAGTGCCAGGCAGAGGAAATGGCTGGAACAATGGCTGGGGGTCCAGAACACGCTAGGCATACAGAGGCACAGCAAGCAGGCTGACTCGATGGGGAAACCAGTGCATGTCTGGGAGGAAGGGAAATTCAGGGAGATGTTAGGTAGGGAGAAAGAGGGAAGGGAGGAAAGCCTTGCACCTTATTTCCTAGGTGAAGCAAGTGCAGGGTCCTCTGGACTGTTTGGGGTTCTGGAGTAAGCAGTGGTGTCACTGCCCTTCAGAGGGGCCTACAGGTCAAAGCATGGGCCTGAGATGAGGATGGGAGCTCAGACCTGTCAGAGCTGCTCTCACTTTATAAACAAAAGGCAGAGTGACCAAGGAAAGGGGAGAAGGGGTCATAGCAGTGGTCTTGACAGGGGTGAGAAAAGCTGGTGACCAAACACCTTGAACTGCCATGGGACGGTCAGATGACAAAGCAAGATGTGCTGGGTTGTGAAAAAGATGGAGACTCTACCATCTTTCTTTAGGGGGAGAGGACAAGGCTGGAGAATTGGAGCTGAGAGTCAATTTTATAGATGTTATGTTTGAACCATGGAAGTAACTGAGGGGGCCAGAGACAACTTCTGCCCTGGTTCTGGGCTTGGCTGTTACCTTCATAGCCAGAGTGCACTCTCTCTGCCAGCAGAAGGCAGCAAAGCTGACTCTCAGCACCTTGCTGGTCCTGCACCTTGACCAGGTAGGGCGTCATGCGGAATGGGTGGTAGCGAATCTCATTCTCATGGTTTTTCCCAACGCTGTAAGAAGAAACAACACTGAAGGTTTGGCATTGTAACATAAGGAGTAGTCCTTTATCTGCTAGTTTGTCAGTTGTCTGTTATGTCCTCACACTGGGAACTAGGCCATGCCAGAGGTAACAGGCATCTTTGCCCTGCCTGAGGAGCTGCTACCCAGCTCGCTTCAGTTCTTTCCTTCAGCCCATCACATTAAGGATAAATCAAAGAGCCAAAACCCTGGGAGGTCGCTCCAGCCATGCTCTAGAGCCATTTGCATTTTTTTTTTTTTTTTGAGTCAAAGTCTCATTCTGTCATCCAGGCTGGAGTGCAGTGGCATACTCACAGTCACTGCAGCCTCAACCTGCTGGGCTCAGGCGATCCTTCCACCTCAGCCTTCCAAGTAGCTGGAACTATGGGCACACACTACCACGTTCAGCTAATTTTGTGATTTCTTGAAGAGATGAAGTCTCGCCAAATTGCCTAGACTGGTCTCAAACCCATGGGCTTAAGCAATCTTCTCACCTCAGCCTCCCAAAGTGCTGGGATTGTAGGCGTGAGCCCTGCACCCAGTCCATTTGCATTCTAAACAGGGAAAAGCAGGAGGGAAGAGAAGTTGCTCCCGCAGGGGTGTAGGGCGGGGAGCAGATCCTAGGCCCCGACTCCCAAGGGTACCAAGGTCTCATCTGGGACACTTAATCACCCCGTTTCGTGCCAAGAGTGTTGTGAAAGCTGTGGGATTCTCCCCCAAAATGTACACACAAACCAAAAGATGCATGTGCTTTTGGGGTCCTTATAGACCCTGGCGTATGCCCCTTCTTGGGTAACAGACAGCAAGTGCAGGGTCCTCTGGTTGACATTTTCTCCAAGGAGCTGATTTAGTCACTCCACTGTTGGCCATACTCTCTTAACACCCTGTCCACTTATGTTATCAAAATGTGACTTATGAATATGTGTTTTCATGTAGACTTCAGGGACTTATATGTCCACATAGGCACAGCCTCTGCCCCAAAGAACAGGAATAGGTATAGCTTGTACCACCTAGCCTTGCACAGCGTGAGAAACTTTGGGGAGCACACACACACCTTCTAGATCCTGTACTAGGTGCTGGAGCGAAGCGTTTGTACCATTTCCTAACTTTAAAAAGATGAAACTGGGCTTACCTGACACGGCAAAAGAAAGATTTTTCCTCCATGCATTCTTGAGTAAAACAATCTAAAAGAAAAAGTCCAAAGTCATGTATCCAATTAAACAATTAAATACAGTCTTTACTTCTCACAGATAAAGACAAGCAATGAAATAAATAGCCCAGGTGTAAAAGTGCAAATCTGCCCAAGCACAAAGGAGTCCTTCAGGTGAGAAGCCTTTCACTACATTTCTGACTAAAATTGAATATATTTCATGAGTGTGGTGCATACCAGATTATGCAGCACTAACATTTTACAGTCAGGAGCTTTACACTTTCCAAATGGTTCATACTGCTACAAACACACCAACAAATTAACAATTCACCTCTGGAAGACATACTCACTGATGTGCAGAATATTTTACATATAAAGCCCTAAACATTTTGAGTTACAAGTTTTGGGGATAGTAAGTTTTAACACAAACAACTCAGGGCATTTCAAAGCTTACATCAATACTTTGGTAAAAGATTAACTTACTGTAACATTTAAAACATCTAGTAGAAATGTGACAGCAGGCAACCTCGTCAGAAGTGAGGGAACAGATGTTTCCATAATAGTTTAAAGGAATTTAAAAAAAAAACTTAGACCTCAATGAAAGCATAATCAAGTTTAATCAAAAATGAAGAAAGTAGAGACAATGACCAGTTATAGAAAATGATATAAATTATTAATACCAGCAGCCGGGCTTGGTGGCTCAATCTATAATCCCAGCACTTTGGGAGGCCGAGGCTAGTGGATTGCCTAAACTCGTGGGTTTGAGACCAGCCTGGGCAACTTGGCGAGATCTCATCTCTACAATAAATAAAAAATTAGCCAGGCGTGGGAGCGCACACCAATAGTTCCAGTTACTTGGAAGGCTGAGGCGGAAAGGATCGCCAGAGCCCAGCAGGTCGACGCTGGGGTGGCCGTGAGTCTGCCACTGCACTCTAGCCTGGGAGACAGAGTGAGACTCCAACTCAAAAAAAATATTAACACTAGCTTGGAAAGGCCTCTGAGAATTCATCTGGTCTTTTTTTATTCAGACAAAAACTTGGTAGGCACTATTTCAGGTAGATAACACCAGCCTGCTCATGCTGTAAATCCATACATAGAGCAAATACCCTTCATGCAGCAGGCCGGTTCTGACCTAACTTGTACTGCAACTTTTTTTTTTTTGAGTTGAAGTCTCATTCTGTCACCCAAGTTGGAGTTCAGTGGCACTTTCACAGCCACTGAAGCCTCAACCTGCTGGACTCAGGCGATCCTTCCACCTCAATCTTCCAAGTAACTGGAACTACAGGCATGCACCACCACGCCTGGCTAATTTTTTCTGTATTGTAGAGACAAGTTCTCACCAAGTTGCCCAAGCTGGTCTCAAGCCCCTGGGCTCAGGCAATCCTCTCGCCTCAGCCTCCCAAAATGCTGGGATTACAGGCATGAGTCACCATGCCCAGAAGTACTGCAAACTTTTAAAAAATGTATGTATGCATATGTGTGTGTGTGTGTATTTTTAAAAATCACTCTGTTGCCCAGGTTGGAGTGCAGTGGTATGCTCATGGCTACCACAGCCTTGACCTGCTGGGCTCAGGTGATTCTTCAGCCTCAGTCTTCCAAGTAGCTGGAACTACAGGTGTGCTCTACCACACCCAGCTAATTATTGATTGATTGATTGATTGTAGAGACAAGGTCTTACCAAATTGCCCAGGCTAGTTTCAAAGTCCTGAGCTCAGGCAATCCTCATGCCTTCAACTTTCAAAGTGCTGGGATTACAGGAGTAAGCCACCATGCCCAGCCGCACTGCAAACTTTAAAGGTCTGACTAGATAGTCTTTGGGAACTTTGGGAGGAAGTAGGCTGCCCTGCATCTGAAACCAAGAGCCAGTGCCTCCTTTTTTTGAGGCAATTCTGAAACAAACTGTGGGCACACCTCAAGCTGCCTGCTGTCAAGGGTACAGCTGTCGAGTTGCAAGGTGACATTATGGCATATTCTTTCCTGGCCCCCACTGTTGACTGAATGGGACCTGGAAGGAGGTGGGGCACTTCCAGATCTAGGGTGGTGAGGAGCCTTTGATGTGAGCAGAGATCTCTGACATGACCATCTGGTCCACCTGACCTGCCAGCCAAGGGAAAAATGGCAGACAGTTCTGGATGATGTAGCCAGGGTGGGCACACGGTCAAGATTCTGAGCAAGGTTAAGTTTGTCTTGGGTGACTCCAGCTGTTGCCTTTTAATCTCTCCTGGATCCTCTGTAACTTCTGCTCTTCAGTTCAACATCAGCTCTAGGCACTCAGAGCCCCATGACAGGCTACATGATTGTTTGGTGCTTCAAAGGGGGACTTTTGTTGGCTTTCCTGGTCAGTGAATGTGGGGAGAGGGGTGCGGGGTGTGGGAGGGGAAGGACCTGAGGAGGTCAGGTCTTGCCTCTTTCATCTGGTCCACCAGTCTCCCCTGATGTACCTCCTTAGGGGCAAAATCTGCACTGGTCGTGGTGGTGGCTATGATGATAGCCTCAAAGCACTGCCAGCCTCAAAGTCTTCCCAGCCAAGTTGGAGAAGTAGGACAAGGATGTGTGAGGGTTAAGTGCAAGAGCCCTGGAGCCAGAAGAGCAAGAAAGGTGCTGACGAATGGGGCGGTTCCAGAGGGTCAAGATGGAGTCTAGTCCTGACTCCGAACTACCACCTTTACTTGAATGGGCAAGGAGAGGAGCTGGGGAAACAGGAGCGCTCATGCACAGCAGGAGTCACAGCAGGTACAGACAAAGGCCCAGAGGCAGGCATGCCCAAAGCTGGCTCCAGGGACTGGGAGGACACAAATCTAGTTGCTGGGAGCAAGGAGGGACCCGTCAGTGTAAGAAGCCTGGACACGATAGAACAGGCCGTGCTGGCAGGCCAGGAGACCTGGGGAAGCTGTTACCCACTGAGTGGATGGACAGAGCCTGCAGTACCTAGGAGGCTGGCAGTCTGTGCCCAGGGACCTTGTGCTCTGCATTCCCAAAGCTGACCCTAGTCAAGGCGAAGAGGCTTTGGCACATATCACATCGCTCACCACAACTGCCAAGGTTGGGCAATACCTGCCCACAGGAAGCCAGATACCCTAGCCTTCCCACATTCTACAGTCACATCAAAATTCCAACTTTTCAGGACAACTTCATTTCTAAAATGTCTAACATTTCTTGAAATTTTCTTAAGTGGTTTTCTCTCTCTGAAATGTATGAAAAGGCATTTTATTTTTCTCTAAATTTATTCTGAAGAGACGAACTGCTTATTTTTCACCTTTGACAGAGTGAGTAGCTGATGGTGCCCGCAGATGGGGTCCATGGACAGAGGTGAGGTGGGCAGTTAGCACCTTATCTGGGATGGGTCCTCATCTGGTCCCTCACCCCTACCAAAAGCCACCCCAACACCAAACCAGAGAAGGCCAAGGTGCCAGTATAAGAACCTTACCTACTCCACTGCACACACTCCATGAGGGAAGCTTGTAAGGAGTGGTGAAACCATGGAACACGCTAACATCATGAGGCGCCAGGAACTCCACAAACTTGGCATCACTAAAGTCATCCCTCTTACAGTGAAATATGGAGGCAACTTGGTCAGAGATGTACAGGATCTTCCCAGTCACCAGGGACACGGCTACAGCAAACATCTCCTGGAAAGGAAAAATATGGCTCTGGTGATAATGATAATGGTCACATGGGACTGGACAGTGGATCAGACTGGGGCAGGCAGGCTGGAGGGAGCTAGCCATCATGAGGGTTCAGGCTAGGGGTGTCTCTGGGTCCCTCACCCAGTCCCGACCAGAAGAATTCTACTTTCCCTGTTACATATATTGGGGTCCAACATGATATTATTTGAAACAACACACCAGGGTTCTGTGCCGGAAGCAACTACAACTAAATTTACTCCCTGGCAGGTGCCATTCACTCCGCTGTCTTGGACATGGATTCCCAGTGTCCAGGTGAGGGTGATTGGGAGGTTGGGAGAAACCCTCTGCTCCTGGCCTGCCACAGCAACCTCTGCTAGCCCTGTTCTCTCACAGGGTTCTGGAGGCTGCCAAGGGAGCAAGAGGTCTCGGGCTGGGCCCCTCCAGCCCACCATGGGCTCTCTCCTTGCCAGCTAACCTTCTGGGCTCAGAACTAAGGAATCCCTGGGGATTAAGCTGGAGGAAGAAGATGGGAAGGATTAGGGAGCCCAGTTCTCAGGGTAGCACATGTTAGGCCTCCATCGGCCCTCACATCTGTTCTCACTGACTCAGGGCAGTGTGTGAGGGGCCCATGTCCCCTCCAAGGGGTCCCACCTTTATGTGGTACTTAAAAATGTATGGGCTTTGGAGCCTCAAATGGTCCTCTTCATGACCACGAAGCCCTGAACAAGTGAACTGACTGTCATCAAGTCTGTCTCCTCATCCTGAGGACATGAAAATCTGGACCTCCCAGCTTGGTCATGTTAAGCTTGCTCTTGTCCCCATGAGCTATGGAACAGAGCTGGCCAGGGAGGAGGAGGAAGGTCTCACAGAAAAGAGGCAGAAATAGAACATGACTGCTACTTCCAGAATCACCGATTTTACACTGTTTTTAGTTTTGTTTTTTTTTTTAAGGTGTGAACTCATCTCCTAAAACTCCAAAGGCTCCCACTGTAAAGCCGGTGGTTGCAGTGGCTCAGTTAGCATGCCTGAATAAAGAACTTCTGCTATTTAAAAAGAAACTTCCTGGGGAGGAGGCTTACCACATTTTTCACAATGTACTCAGAGGTAATGCTTTCAATCTCCTCCACTGTGTAGGAGGGTACATCCACTCCGCAGGGGTGGCTCTCACTGGACATTAGCAGTTGGTAATACTCTTCATTAGCTGCAGAGAAATGATGCTTATGCTCATGTGTGTGACTGAAAACTGTTATTAACTCTTACAAGCTGGGGCCTCTACTTTACTCAAGTGAAAAGTGGGATACAGACATGATCTTCCCAGAATATAGAACACACAGAAATGTGAAGGTAAAACAATGCACAATCAGAAATCTGGATTTCTCCCCCCCTGAAACATCAGAAGGCCTCTGATTACAGAATTTTTTTTAAAAGAGGTAATACAGTATTTTCAAAAAGAGTTCTACCTAACTCTCACTTTCTCCAGAAGGGTCTTTAATCATGGTGCAACATTCATGTTTCTATACAGGACTGTGTGTGGCAGTTCCTACATCCAACTCCCTGAGTGACCATGTCAGGCACTCTCACCTGGGTAGAATCGACTGCTTAAAAAATAGCAGGCATGGCCAGGCATGTTGGCTCATGCCTGTAATCCCAGAACTTTGGAAGGCCAAGGTGAGAGAATTGCTTGAGCCCAGGAGTTTGAGACCAGCCTGGGCAACACAGCGAGACCTTGTCTCTACAAAAAATACAAAAATTAGCTGGGCATGGTGGTATGAACCTATAGTTCCAGCTACTTGGGAGACTGAGGCAGGAGGATTTCCTGAACCCTGGAGGTTGAAGCTGCAGTGAGCCATGATCACACCACTGCACTCCAGTCTGGGTGACAAAGTGAAACCCTGACTTAAAAAAAAAAGTGGGCACAAGAAATGGCATTTGAAAATAATTGTTCAGAATAGAATCTGAAGAGGAGGGCCACTTGATCTGAGTTTTCACATCATTCTGGGCTTATCTGGCAAGACTTTGGGGTGACAAAACCTGTCTGTGGATCTTGGTGCTTACCAGTTACAGCAGCCATCACTCCAGAGGGAACCAAATGAGCTATCCCAAGGCTGCCACCTGCCATCAGAGCCCATCAGGCCCTCAGACGGATAGAACACGGGTTTGTGTTTGGAGTTTGACCCAGGATCCCTTCAAGCCAGTGCTTCCTACAATGTGGTGGGGAGACCTTTGAATCCCCAGCTGGGTCTTACCTGCTTTCGATTTTGCCACCTTCAGGAATTTCAGAAATGAGTAGATTGTTGCATATGCTCTCAAGTAAAGATATAAACTACTGGAAAGTGGAGAAAAATGTCTCCACTTGGCAGACCTTCCAGGTTCTGAAGCTGCTGCAGATGCCAAGAATGAAGCACCCTAACCTGACACAATTACTTAAGAACAGAGCAGCCCAACTGGTTAGAATGAACTTTCTCCTCCTGCTCCTCCTTCTGGAAAAGGGGATCTTCCCAGGTACGTAGCCCCAGAGCCATGCACTCCACAGGAGGTGCACATCCAGGGGCACCAGATTCCCATGCTGTACCTTTAGGTATGACTAGCACTGACCAGCAGCCTCTGACCTTGATGATGTGAATATTCTGGGACCTTGCAGTTCTTGTTCCTAAATTCCTACACTGTTTCTTTGAAGAGGTCTACACATATGTTCTCACACAAAAGACTCAGTCTTACTCATCACTGACCAGTTCTAAAAGCTCTTTCATATCCTGTTATCTAATAATACAGTCCAAACATACACACAAATGGAAGTAGGATCTGGCCTTTGGAGGCCCCATTACTACATGTGGGTGACAGAAAGTAGCGTTCTGCCCTGCCTCCTTCCTTCCTAGTTGAAATGACCACCAGGACAGAAATTCACACGTTTCTAGATGAATAAGAAAAGAACTGCCTGAGGTCTTGAATCAAGAGGCTCTAAAGTGATGATCCTTTCAGGATAAGATCTGGCAATGCCTTCCCTCTTATATCTCTTCACATTATATCTTAAAGGTAGGGCAAGTCCTCAGCTAAATGCTAATGTTTAATTCCATTCTGAGCTGCTCATGGCATCAGGCTCCTGCCATGGGTTATGAGCAGTGAGTGATGACCTTCCTGGACTCAGAGTCATTGTCCCAAACACAAACTCTCCTGCCAGAACCTGGATGTTGGACTCTCCTGAACATGACCTGACCCCAGCCCAGAGCACAAATGTTTGTGTTTCTTTTTTCTCCTTTAAAAGTCATGTGCAATGGAAAACTTACAATGAGTTCAGGTTTCATGAGATTTTTATCATTTTCTTCTGCTATTTCAGGAATGAGTTTTAGAAATTCAAGCTGTCATTTGAGGGGATTTAAAACGTCTTTCTATGGGTTTATAGCAGATGTGTGAGGCAGACGTACCTTTCACTTGCTTCACACTCCTCAGAGCGTACTTCAAGGTTGCCAGTGTGCTGGCCTTGCCCCTGGCCTTCTTGTCTGCAGGAAGGTGAACTTTCAGCTCCTTCAGTGTCTTTACCAGTTCTTTGTGGGTATCTGCTTTGGCAGACTGGTCGCTACTGTGAGATTCAAGAAAGTGACCAAATGTTAGCTACCTAGGTATCTTCTGAACAAATGTGCCTCTGGTTTCTCAACCTCAGCACTAGTGACGTTTTGGTCTAAGTAGGTCTTTGTGGGGCTCTGCAGGATGTTTAGCAGCATCCCTGGCCTCACCCACTATGGTCCAGTAGTACCCTTACCAGTTATGATAACCAAAATGTCTGCAGGTATTGTCAAATGTCTCTTGTGGGAAGATAAACTGTTCCCAGTTAAGAATCACTGCTTTAACCTAAGTGAATGCTGGAGAAGCCCCTACAATTAGGTTCTTCTTCCCCAAGGATTACAGCTGCAATTTGCTCAGGAAGGGCTGCTGGTCCACCCACAGTGTGGCAGAGCAAACTCCCCCACTGAGCTGTGCCCTCCTTCCCTGCCCCAGGTACAAAAGGGCAGAGTGAGCCAGGGTCAGTGGCTCAGCCTATAATCCTGCGCTTTGGGAGGCTGAGGTGAGTGGACTGCCTGAGCCCGTGGGTTCAAGACCCGCCTGGGCAACTTGGTGAGATCTCATCTCTACAATAAATCAAAAAATTAGCTGGGCGTGGTAGCGTGCGCCTGTAGTTCCAGCTACTTGGATGGCTGAGGCAGAAGGATCGCCGGAGCCCAGCAGGTCGAGGCTGCAGTGGCCGGGAGCGGCCACTGCACTCCAATCTGGGTGACAGAGTGAGACTCCAACTCAAAAAAAAAAAAAAAAAGAAAGAAAAGGGCAGAGTGATGGGATTATGGAGGAAAGGAAAGTAACTTCCTGAACGTTAATGTGAGCTGTGGGTGCAGAGTAGAGGAGAGGGGATTCTGGAGAAGGGTCTTCAAATGTAAGCAGGATACAGAAATGAAGGAAAACAGAACAGCGGGACACTGATGAATGGAAATGGGTCTGTTGAGAGAAGAAATACAGAAGGTAGATTTCTGAATATGCTCTCTGAGGTTTTGGAGGCGATTTCTCGGGCAATGGTAATGTGCCCACATGGCCAGGACTAGGAGCTGGATTTTATTCCTGAGGTGATACAAGGATAACTGTATTACAGACATCTAAAAAGGGTAAGGAATTTTCCAGATGAACATGCCCAAGACTCAGGAAGGGTTTTCTAGAGTGGAGCTGGGAGGGGCTATGGTTGCTGGAGCAATATCCAGGAGGCTCTGCACAGCCCACAGGGACCAGTTGATGTCTGAAAGGCCAGGATGCGGCAGGGGTTCACACTGATGTGACTGTGCAGACTAATGGGTTTTAGCAGAGCTTAAAAAAAATCATCACTCCCCCCAAAAAAACTAACCTCCAATAACAAGTCTTTCAATTTCTCTAAAGACTCCAAGTAAGGGAGCTCCAGTTGGCCTTAACTGCAGCCACTAGTAGAAGGGTTGTGTTCCTTCTTTGCCATCATCAGGCTAAAGGCATTTGGACTATCAGAACAATAAATAAAAGCAACATGTAGATAACTGTACATTCTATCCACTTCTTTCCCCCCATCCTACCAGAAATAACAGGCTAGATAACACTATAGTAAAACAAGTTTAAAAAATACAAGGACAGTATAAAATTGGAATGTAAGACCTTCAGCTATCAGAAAAACTAAGTATTGGGAGATGTAAACACAAGACAAAAGGAGCCAGTTCATTTTCTATAAACTACTTAGTGTCAGTGTAAGCAGTTGTTGCCTGGGCTACCTGACACTGCTGCCTCCCAGCAGCTCCATATATTACAAGGTCTCCACCTGCTGGCAATCAGATATGCAAAACCGATGGGGCACCATCATAAGGAAGGACAGACCCTGGTAAATTTTAACAGTCAAATCACAATAGAAAGGAACCACACTGAAAAAACAAACAGCCTGTAAGTTGTACTCACCTCTGGTGGGCATCTGGCGCCTCCACCAGCATCCTCTGCTCCTTCCTGCTGTCATCATAGTCACTGCTCTGAGAGTCCCGCCCCATGGAGCAGTTTTCATTGGTCTCATGTCCACTCAAGCCGCTGCTCATGTCTACGTCTTCCTGGAGTGGGAGCTGGCTGGGCATGGGCTCCATGAGCTCCTTGGCAAGGTCACTGGGACTGGGGGGAAATTCCACGTATCCATTCATGTCAGGCTCCGGAATGAAGCTGGCAAACCAGAGGAATGTTGTCAAGCATTAATAAGAGCAGGCACAGGTGACCAGTGGAGCCATCAAGTAGAGCAGCTGTTTGAACCTTTCTACACATTTTACCAAGCAAAACTGCAGTAGTTGGGATCAATCATGTGTATATTACTTCATTGTGTCACTCATTTGTTCTTATTTACTGAGCTCCTACCAGCCATGGGTTAGGAAAACAGTTGACATTGACAGCCCTGACATGAATTGCTGGTGGCCTTATCAAAAGACAGACAAGAGCATCAATAATCACTGCCCAGCATGCGGGAGCTTTGAGAAGGATTTAGGGTCCCACCAAATTGATGGCAGGGACTGAGAATCTGCATTTTATAAAATTTCTCTGGGTGACGTGGGAGAGCAATGGGGTTAAGAAATCTTGGACATCACAGCATGGCAAAAGTTACAGGAGAAGCTGAGGACAGCAGGAGACTTCGGGAAAGATGAGGCTTGTTGGGTGAAGAGGGTAGAGAGGCCCAGCAGGTGTGGAGTCCTCACAGCAGTTCAGGGGTCCCAGGCACTGCAGGTGTGTGCAAGTAGGAGTGGGGAGGGGCTGGTACTAGGTGGCCCCATCTTTACCTGGGGAATGGTTAGGAGTCCCTGAAGCACTCTGAGCATCATCAGACTCTTGGAACTTATTTTATACTTGAACAGGCCCCCCACTGCTGAGCTAGACAGAAACTTTACCTTGGTGCTTTGAGGGAAGGTCGGGCGGAGGGGAGGGGAGGTGTGCTGAAATTAGAGACAGACCAGCAATAAGGCTTCTGAAATAATCTTGGAAGACAAACAAGGGTGTGAGCAGAGGCAGTGAGTAGGGAGGGGTGGGACTGATTAGCAGGTGGGAGGCCTTGAACCAAGGATGGGGAAATGGTTAGATGCCACTGGTGAAGAAAGGGGGATACAGGATGGTGTTTCCAGAAGAGTCCTAGCAGGAAGCAGATGCCCACTCAAGCTGAGCACTGAGGAGTGTTTGGTGAAGGCCCTGCTTGACAGGGTATGGCCGTGTTTAAACTAACCAAAGCTGTGAAGCATTGGGGTGGAGGGAGAAGCTGTTATCACCCCTGGAGGAGCAAGAGGAAAGAACAGTGAAGGAACCCAGACAACCTGCTGACTCCACAACTTGCCAAACCCAACAGAAAGCCAGAGGGTAAAGGAAACTACTGACTCGGGCTTGGTGACTAGGCAGCAGTGGTCCCTTCACCAAAGGGAAATGTCCCTCACAGCTTCCATGTGGTCAAGGAAACAGAGCAGACATCTGCAGAGAGCAGCTAGGAGAGGCTGAGCAAGGATCTGGGTTGATGTTGGCAACTACAGACATTATGCTAAGCACCCAACACACAGTCTTCACTGAAATCCTAAATCACTGTCTACATGGTGTGCAGGACACCATTCTATAGATGAGTCAACAGGGGTAAGTAAATTGCCCCAGGCCACATAGCAGCAGGTGACAACCCTGGGTTCCAGGACTGCTGGCATCTGAAGATGGGACTCCCTATCATTCCAAACCCAGGATCACTCAGGTGGGGACTTCTTGCCACCTGTCCTGTGATCAGAGCCCTCACTGTGCCCCGACTCATAGCCTTGCTGCTTCTGTATGGCATCCTCTTGGCTCTTCCAAGGGCAGAACAAGAGGAAGGGCTTCTGGATTCCATACCCCAAATCTCTGTGAAAAATCAAGGTCCCATCTAGCTCTGGGAAAACATCCCTTCCCACCAAAACTCACATGAAATGACCAAGGATTATAAAATTAAGGGAAGGGGGATCATTTTCAGCAGCCCTGGAATTCCAAAGGGTCCCAATTGTTTGCCACAAAGGGAAAGTGCTTCCAGCTAGTTGTAGTTCAGATGGAAGGAGAACAGAGTGCATATTAGAATCTGACACCTCCTTAGGAAGCAGACCAGTGTTGCAGAACCTGCCACTCTTGGCTGCAGAAGGAGACAGCTGGAGCCAAGGGTGAGACCGGAAAGACAGGGAGTTCTACCACAGGGAAGACACTTGATAAGGAAGTTGTGGGGGAAGGATGGAAACTGGAGCAGAAAACCTGTGGGAAGGAGGCTCTCCAGACTTGCTTCCCCCATCAAACACCCTGAGGTTCCCTCCTCAATGGGGCAATTCCAAAAACGGGTCTAAAAACCACACAGGCAATACTATGAGGGCTACACAAGCAGGGAACTAGATTCTGACAACTGGTCCCCAGCAACCGGATCGTTGAGCTCCATCAAGATCCTTCAGCTGTTCCCTCTCTAGGTCTAGCCCACGATGGCATGACCACTCCACCGCATCCAGGGGAAAGGTGGTCCCTGGAAAACAGCAGGACTGACTAGACCTTGTGTTGTTAAACTAATACATAGAAAACAGTCAACATGGGGCTTTGGAAAAGATGTGCAACAGACAAACGAATACAACTCTTGTGGGCACACAGGAAACAAGCAAATTTAGGGCATCTACTTTTCATCGTAAATTAAGATTCAAGAGATGATGGATTCAATGAAACAAATAATGAAGGATGAGATAAAGCCATAGACTGAGATGAAAATGCCACATTAGAACAGAAAATTAGAAGGGATAAAGTCAATAATGAAGACAATGGCTTCACTGACAGGAAGAAACTTGTAAAATGTGAAGAGAAAGGACCAATAAAAGAAGAGAGATGGAAGAAAGCTGAGCTTTTACCTAGGATAATAGCTCTTTCCAAAAAAGATACCAAAACAATGAAGAATAAACCATAAAGAACAACATATGTGAAGAAAACCATCATGAGGTGAAGACAGATTTGAATCTGTCAGTTGAACACAAGAGTCTAATACCTAACTACATCCTAAAAAAAGTTGTATTTTCAAGTATAAAAAATCCTACCAGCATCCAAAAAGGAAAAACAAACAGGTTATTTCAAAAGGATGAAAATCATAGTCTTGGACATCTCTTCTGCAATATTAAATTTCCAGAAGGTAATGTCTATACACAACTTTGAGAGGAAAAGGTTATGGTCAAAGGGAGGGAATCTCAGTGAGAGGATTCTTTCATTACTTGGGAATCTCAATGCTTATTATGGGCTACACAGGTGGCTGTATCAATATTCCAAATTACATAAAACTCAAAATGGCCTAGGCACAATGGCTCAAGTCTGTAATCCCAGCACTTTGGGAGGCCGAAGTGAGAGGATTGCCTGAGCCCAGGGGTTCAAGACTAGCCTAGGCAACTTGGCGAGATCTCATCTCTACAATAAATCAAAAAAATTAGCCGGGCATGGTAGCTATTTGGAAGGCTGAGGCGAAAGGATTGTCTGAGCCCAGCAGGTCAAGGCTGCAGTGGCTGTGAGTGCGCCACTGCACTCCAGCCTGGGCAACAGGATGAGACACCAACTAAAAAAAAAAAAAAGAAAACTTAAAATGCCAGTGTTATTCCAATCAATGTTAGGAATAAAATAGGCAAGTCTGTTACTCTGTTTCTTTTCTTCTTCTTCTTTTTTTTTTTTTTAACATTTTATGAAAGTTCTATCGAACTCTATGAAAGATGAATGGTAATAACTTCTGGGATGAAAGAAACTAAGCAAAAAGACTGTGAACATACCATTCCCCCAAAAGAGAAATATCAAAAGATGCTCCACTTCATTAGCATTAGGAAAATACAATGGATAAGGCTGTTTTGCCCATCCAGTTACCAAAAATTAATAGAACTGATTGCATCCAGCGAATGTAGGGCAGAGGAGAGTGGCTCTTGTGTATGGTAGTATAATAAAGTCTTTCTAGAGGAAAATTTGCATGCCCAGCAACATTTATCATCTGCACATTCTTCTCACTTCAAGGAATTCATTGCACAGAAATGTTTATATATGTGCACTGAGATGTGTCAGCATGGTGTATGGAATAATAAAAACCTGGAAAGAGGACAGGCGTGATGGCTCTTGCCTGCAATCTCAGCACTTTGGGAGGCTGAAGGTGGAGGATCACTTGAGGCCAAGAGTTTGAGACCACCTTGGGCAACATAGCGAGATTGTGCTTACAAAAGACCAAAAAATTACCCAAGCACACACCTATAGTCCCAGCTACTTGGGAGGCTGAGTCCAGGAGTTTGAGACAGCAGTGAGCTACAATCCAGCCACTGCACCTCAGCCTGGGTGACAGAGACCTTGTCACTTAAAAACACACATACACACAGACACACACACAAAAAACCTGGAAAGAACCATCAGGGAGACTAATTGCATCCTATCCAGAGCACCCAATTCACATGACCACCCAGGCCAGGCACCAGCCTCAAAATCCTGATTGGGTTTCTGCCTCCACCTGGCCTGTTGTGGTCACCACAGCAGCAGGAGAGATCCTGGCGAAAGGAAGTTTAGCTTATGCCAGGCCTGTGCTCAGTTCCTCACTCAGAGCACAGCCCTAGTCGGCCTGAGGGGCTGCAGGCTCTGCAAGGTCCAGCCCCAGAGACCTCCTGGGCATGCCCTGTTTTCTGTCCCCCTCGGTCTTAGCCCTGTGTGCTCAGGGACTTTGCACTTGGGCTCCTCCATGCTCACAGCTACATGAGCAGCCCTGTCTCTCCACTGGCTGCTTCTCCTCCCTGTTCTGCTGGCTTTCCTCCCCAGCACTGACTTGCTGGGCTACTCACTACCTGCCTCCTCTCCTGGACATAAGCTCCAAGAGGGCAGAGGTTTTGAGTTGGCCACTGCTGGATCCCCATAGGGCCTGGCACACACTGGTGAAGGTACAAAACCTAGAACATCTACACTATGGAACACAATGCACCCACTAAAAGAGGGAGACCAGACACACTGATGTGGGGAGATTCTTGGACACAGATGAACAAGTCACAGAACAATAACAAAACAAAAAGGACAGGTGGCACTCGCACAGGGCTCTCATGTGCCAGCAGTTTCCCGCTAATTAACTTGCTCTTACTTGTACAGCACTGAGGGCTAGCATTAGGGCAGACAACAGAACAAACAGACATCTTTCCTGCCTTCAAGGAGCT